AGCACACAAAATGCGGCGTCAGTGCGAAACAGAGGAAAAAGAATCCAACATCTGCATATAAACTTCGAGCGTAGAACAGCCAATATAAATGTAAAAGACATAAGTACGATTTCTTAGCTCAACTGGGAGAAAAAGCACAACTAATATAAAACAGCAAGGACTCATCTATAAAAGCGAGTTTCAGTGGAAAAAGGCATGACATTTTTTGTAAGAGGCAAAACCCAGCAGGAAATAACAAAGAACAATTAAAGGAACAAGTTGGCAAACACAATGCACACTATATAACCACCTAAGCAGCCGACACAGAGCTAACGAAAACCATTTAAACAGCAGATGCCATGGCAAAGCAATATAATAATAGAAACCAAGCTTGCTAATGAAAAATGCTAACCAGCAAACAAGTCAAACCGAATGCAGATTGGTAGAAGAATGGGCTGATTAAGATCAAAACCTGGATTAGCACGAAATAAGAACTAAAAGATGATAAAAGAAGGCTAAAGCGGAAAATAACGAACACCTCTTCCAGCCAACAGCAACAAGGAGTATATCGACACTGATGCTAACAGTCCAAAAAGTGTAGGAAAACCAGGGAAGGCCGAGAAACAGGCGAAAAATGAGCCGCTGGAGAGGAATGTATAATGGTAGAAGCTTGCATGAGGATACGAATGAAAATGGTACGTTCCATCCCTATGCATGACGAAAAGGTGGGCAAAGGAGCTTCATGAAAAGACGCAAAGAGCGCTCGTGCGCCACAAATTCGAGGAATCATCAGGGCGGCTGAAGGCAGAATAGCCAACGAACGTATAGCTGGCTGTGTACCCGAAGGAAGCACCGATAACTCAATTAAGTTCAGGCAACTCGTTAGCTACTCTTAATAGGAAGCTAATCATCATTACCCTGCTTTTAACAGCTCCATAAAAAGCATCATGCCTTTCGATAAGGCTGGCGGTAATTCATTTAAGTTCTGGCATCTCGTTATCTACTTTTAATAGGAAGCTAATCATCATTACCCAGCTTTTAACAGCTCCATAAAAAGCATCGTGGCTTTCTATAAGGTCGTCAGTAAAGACACAATAATTGCCGTAAGGTTCCAAGGACAAAAAGCGGTTGATGGTTTTTTTTTGTTCCAAGAAACAAGAAAAGAACAAGGGACGCATATGCCATCTCATGGGCTACTCTCACAACCCGCACGTGAGAAAGACACGGAGGACGACCATGCTTTGGCACCCTCTTCCCAGTTTATATACATTCTTTAAACTAAGTGCTTAGGAAAGTCTCCAAGGGTGCGTGGTTTTGGTGATGTGTCAGTTCATGATTTGCTGAAATGTTGTCGTCCTCCAGCTGCTCACGTGACTTGATGGTTGGAAATTGGGATGTGAATTCCGTTTGTGAGCCACCGAGTCTTTTTGCTTGCATCCAACCCACTAAAGAGAGTGATAATAGTAGTAATAGTCCTTTTTCTTTTTCAAACACTGTGGTTGGGCGGTTGGGCCTATGTCTCTTTCCCACCTTACCTAATGTCAGCTTTTTTGGTCACACCTACTGGATCAGAACCATCATTTATCCCTCCCTCTTTGTTCATCGTCTCTCTCTCTCTCTCTCTCTCTCTTTCTCTTCGTTTCTTCATCTCCGATGAGAAAGCCCCCTTCTTCTCTTTCTCTTTTCTTTGTCTTCGTCTTCTGATGGAGAATAATGATAAGCCAAAAAAGATGGTTTATGTATATACTTTTAAAGGTTCTTGTTTCTTCCTTTGCAGAACTTCTCTAGCCCTCATTTTTTTCTTTTTTTTTTAAATGGGTTGTAGTTGTCTAATTTACATATTTCTCATATTGCAGGTGACAAATTGGAAATTACTTCTGGCAACCTGATGACATCTTGCAAGTCTTTTGTTTCCTTTTCTAAAGTGCATTCTGTATGCTTAAAAGTTTTGATTCTTCTAATTCCTCCACTTTCTTATGCCCGAGTTCTTTTGTACTTTTTTTTTTTTGTTTTCTGAGAAACCGTGTTGTGGGTTTTTCTGTTTTTTCCCAATAGAGCAAGGGATCAATGATAAAGGAGGCATCTTTTTCAGGTTTGAGGTTATGTTTAATAGTTTTTATCAATGATTTTTTAAATCAATAGCCTATTGTTGTTTTTTTGCTTGAACTATTTTTATTTATCGGTAGCCTTCTTGATTTTCAAGTTTAGAAGAGATTTTTGCAGTTTTTTTGGACAAAAACAGCTTGGATGAGTTTTTAGGAAAATTGCCTTGGTGAGTTTCTTGCTACAGATTTATGTGTTTTGGACTATTGTTATCTAAGTGCTTTTGTAACGTTGTCTTTTTTATGAACTGACTTCAAGTTTTTTCCTCGTTTTTTTATAACTGCTGTTGGTATATGCTTTTGCCGTTGTGGCGAGTTCATTTTAAACTTCCTGCCTTTTTCTTTCTGTTTTCAGTTTTTCTTTCTATTCTTGTGATTGCCTGTTTTACATCCGTATGGTATGCCTTTCTTTGTAGAATTCGCTGGCCTTTTGATTCTTGCAAGGAGCCTTCTTTGAAGCTAATCCTTTATCATTTGTTGGGACAGGAATTCTGTTGCAGGTCAGATGCTTGTTTATTTGTCTTGTTTGCTTTTTCCTTTTGTCGTACATTCTTTATTTAGTTGCCACTTTTGCTTTTCCGTTTTTAGTTCATGCATGAGTATCACCTCTGCGTAATAGTTGTTAACTCACATGTAAGAGTTGCCATGCATGGTTTAAAAAATTTATGCTCTGTTCTTTTTGCTTCTTACTTTTTGGCAATAGGCTGGTATGCATGCATGTTTTTTATTTCATTGTATCATATATCTTATGTTCTTTACAGCAGTTCGTAAATGTTGTTTTTGTTCTTCTTTGCAATCATTTGACTATAGTTTTTGGTGGCTATTGTAAATTGCCATTGGCTGATTTTTTTTTTTTTGGACTGATGGTTCTTAGTCATTTAAGTCAGGTGGATAGAAATACTATTCGTCAAAAATGGTATGTTGAAATGTCACAGAGTGAGAAGGCTGTGCTTTCATGTCGGAGGCGTGAAGCCAGGCTTTTGGAAAAAAAGGGAGAAATCCTCACGCTCTTATGTTCATAGGGTACCGTTTGGTTGCATAGAAGCTGGTGTTTTTTTTCCTGGTTCTACTCTTGAGGGCGATAGCAAGCTACTCTTGAAGGCTATGGTTTTACTCCTCGAGGTATATGTGCCGTTGTAGTATTTTACTTGTCTATTCTGTATCTGTTAGTTTATTTAGCCTTGTGTCAGATCATTATCTTTGAATGGCTTCACATTTCTGTGCCATTTACGATTGAAGCCATCTATTTTTGCACATTACAGCAGCTCCATTGAATGACATAGTTCAGGTTACAAAAGGTCAACCAAAATCTAGTGTTGGAAAAAAAACTGTCTTCTCATCTTTGGCCGAACGTTTGGCCTTCTATTAATGATCAGCCTTCTTAGCACAGTCATAAAGAAGTCTTACCTAAAGGATTGCCTGACCTTTTAGATAACATTACAGTCTTCAATAAGAACGAACAAACTTGGGATTCTCAAAATGTCAACCAAATAACATACTTCAATCTTTAAAGGACTCAAACTCTGGAATCCTTAACTCTTTGAACACTCCGTCTTTAAATCGTTTGTCCAGAGACTGTGTTTCCTCTTCTATTGCATTGAATCCCTGATCTTTCAGCATTCCGCGAGGTAGAGATATTACTGCATCCAACAAATCATTCTTCTAGCTTTTCTTATTCAGCCTTTAGTATCGTTGTCTTTCATAAACTATTCTTAAGAAAATAAGGCTGTCTATTTATGCACGTTGCAGCAACTCCATTCAATGACAGAGCTCAGTGTTAGAAATGTCAGATAGAAACTAATGCTGGAAAAAGGAAGAAAAAGGAAAAAAAAGGACATCTATCTTTTGATTCCTTACCTAATGACCAGCCTTGTAAGCGGAGGCATGGAAATGCATTGTCTAAGACATGGTCTCCTGTTTCAGAAGTTAACATTGCGATCTCTTAAGACAATGAACAAACCTGTGGTGCTTGATGTTAAAATACAGCTAACATCTTTGAACCTACGCGGAACTTGAATTCTAAAATTCTTGGTTCTTTGCAGAGTCCATTTTTGAATTGCTCGTCAAATGACTGTATTTATTCTTCTACTACATTGAATCTCCAGTCTTCTAGTACTTCTCAAGACACAAATATTATTATATGTACCAATTATTTTGCTTGCTTTTCTTGTTCAATCTCCGGTACTTAAAAAAAATTCTTCTCCACTTCTAAGATAATGTTGTGTCTTTTGGGCACCTTATTAGGATTTGCCATTGCAGATATCCCATTGATTCAGAAAAATATGGTGGTTCATTCTCAAATAATAAATGATGTGTCGACTAACAAAGATGGGACCAGCAAATCATCTGATATTCCTGTTGGTTTTGCAACTTGAATGAAGGATCATACAAATGTTATGCCGACAAGAACGACGCAGTCAGGTTAGTTGATATGTAGGTTATGCTGAAAGGGGGCAAAAGCGTTTCATCCTTGTTGGAGTATCGTATATGTGATGAATATGTATTTCTGTCCTTGAAATATTAAAAAAAAAAAGAGCAGCTGCTTATAAAATCCTTGAGCATTAACTGCCTTAAGCTTGATTATGCTACTATTTGATCATTTGTTTCAGGAGGGCTCCCACAATATATGTTAACATTTTCTCTTGGGAAGCTGCAACACAATTTCCAATAGCAACACAGACGGCAAGAGGAGGGGCAAGTTTCTCTTGCTACTGTTACTGACTGTCCATTTGAGTATCAATGTTAATTATTATATATTCTAAGCTGAATATTCTGCGGATCTTGGCAGATGCAATGGGGCTTGGGAAAACTGTGATGACTATTGCTCTGATTCTTGCAAGGCAAGGCAGAGGTACCCTGAGGATTAAGAATCAATTGCCAAAAGTGAGGGTGATACAGAGTACATCAAGAAAAAGAAAAAGGAATCTGATCTCAAACCTTTTAGAAAAGTGAAAGGCAGCACCCTCATTATTTGTCCTATGGCGTTGCTTGGCCAGCGGAAGGTGAGTCCCTATAATATATTTGATTCAGCCAGAATAACAAAGTTTTCTGAGTTTGTATGCATTCTGAATAGGTTTAGCTACATTGTTCTGAAACTGCATTACTAATTTTTTGATCGTATGTTAGTTAATGGATAGGCACAAGGATATACTGTCGTCTTCTGTGAATAAGAATTTACTGAATGAACAGGATGAACTTGAAACACACTCAAAGCCAGATAGCATCTCCGTTTCTGTCTTTTTTGGTGGGGATCGGAGCAGTGACCCTAGAGTGATTGCTGAACCTAATGTGGTCTTGACCACATACAGTGTCTTAACGGCTGCTTGTAAGAATATAAGCTAGCTATTTCCATTTTTTGTTACTTTCCACCACCAAAATCCATTTACTTGTAGCTTATAAGAATGAAAAGCTGGCCATTTCCATTTTTTTAAGTTTCCACCACTTAAATCCAATTGCTAATGCTGCTTGTTCTTTTCCCCTGTTGAAACATTTTTAATGATTACTATTTTATATGTTCAACACAGGATGGGGAGAAGAGCATTTTCCACAGAGTTGACTGGTACAGAGTGGTTTTGGATGAAGCTCATACCATCAAGTCCTATAAAACTCTAGGTGCCCAGGCTGCCTTCAAATTGTCATCCTATTGCATGTGGTGTCTTACTGGTACCCCTCTTCAGGTATGGCAGCAGCAAAGAATTCTGGCATTAGTTGAACAAGTGCCGGAGTAATGTTTTTCCTGATTGTTATTAAACCACTGGCTATTGTCTAGCATGTATCAATTAAGGTCATTATCAATTGCTGCAGAACAAGTTGGAAGACCTTTATAACCTACTTTACTTCTTGCATGTTGAACCATGGTGTAACTAGGCTTGGTGAGCTTATTATTATTATTTTTTTGACAATTTTATGGCTGATGCTCGAGATGATTTAAAAACAAGCAGTTACTATTCAGTTTTTGCGTTACATTTCCTAGAAAAATTGTTCAAAGAGTTAAAGATGGCCAAATCTTTTTTTTTTTTGTTTATTGTTATTTTTTTAATCAACATTATAACGCAAATGAGCTTGTTCCCTCGCTCTTCCCATTTGCTGAAATTTGTTTACTGCTTGTTATAGGTGGCAAAAACTGATTCAGAAGCCATATGAGAGTGGTGATTATAGAGGGATAAAGCTTATCAAGGCTATTTGGAGGCCACTAAAGCTCTACTATTTACAGACAGAAGTGATTATCATTTCTTTTTATGTAATAACTGTTTCCTTCTATTTCTTCAACAGCTTATAGTACTTTCTTTTTTTATCTCCACCAAAATGTAGATTTAACTCAACATCTCCTGACTACTCTACAGGGAAATATGGTTATGTGTTACATCAAGCCTTCTCCTTCTAGATTTAGACTGACCAGATATGTAGCTCATGAAATAATCACTGCCTATGGATGAAGCTCTCAATATTGACAACCTCAACATCAACAATCTCAAGATTAATGACTGACAATCTACTTGTTGTGTTATTTTTAATTGTACCTTTGCTACATCGACGATCTACAGTCTACTTATTATCTGTTTTTGGTCATAAGTTTTGCCCAATAAGCTAATAAGATATTTGGAATGTGAAAAACAGTTTTTCAAAAACAGGTGCAAAAACACTCAATCCAAACGCAGCCTTTACTACATCTATAGTCTATTATGTCCTTTATTATACTTTTCGATTTCATTTTTTTTTTCTAGATTCTTATTAGCTTATTGGGCAAAACTAGGCATGCCAGTCTTCGAATTCTACACCGCGCGTACGCGCGGTGTACACCTCCTAGTGAAAGTATAAAGCACAAAGACCTTTCGTGCTTCTAATACATGCTTGTAAAGGTCATAAAAACCCAATAGCTAAAGGAGGTTTCCATGGTTGTTTACAATATTTGACGGAAGTAATATTACAATCAATCATCACTTAAAGAATAAGTATATGAACTTGAAATCTTGATAGAAGCTACCTTAACTGAATCCATTTAGAGGGCTTTCTCATCCCAGATTCGTGAGTTTTTTCTTGCACGAAGCATATGGACATTTGGCAAGTTTCTCTTTCCTTGTACGGGACCTGTTTCCACCAGTCGTCTGAAAATCATTGAACATATAGCCTAATTAAAATAAAAGGGGCAGGTATAAGAAATTAACCACATTTTTGTTCTTTTTTTGGGTGAAGAAGATTTTGTTTCCGAATTGTCATTGGACAAAAATGTTGTTATTGCCCTCTAGTTTGAGTTCTAGTTGTTCGATTTTTACTATGAATTCTGGTTTTAAGTTAGGTAAATTCCTGTGTACCTTTTTGTGGTTTCGTTTATTACCACATAATTTTCTTGATATTTCAAAATATTCAATAACCGCCAATGATTTATATAGAGTGCAAATTGATGGAAAGTATTTTCTATAACGACAATTGAAATGTCAACATTATCCTTAACGAAGTAATAAAAGGGTGATTACTTTGTATAAAATTATATGAGTATTATGTGACAAAACAATAGGAGGTTGTGATAAATTGCATCTGTGGCAATAAACCAAGCCTCCCAAAAAGGTAGCTGGTAGGGCATAAATAGAAACATTTTCTACTCAATTGACAAGTGCATAGTAACAAAAAAGAAAGGAAAAAAGACAACACCCCATATAAATTAAACGACCATTTAGTTTTCAATAGATATATTCAAAAATTTTCTTCTTTTTCAGTTTCCATATTCTGGACAAGGACTTGGAGATTAATAATATTACTTCCTTCCAAATAGTTAACTGTTGCTTATGAATTGTGATCATCCATCAGAGCTTTAGCAGAGCCTGTCGTATGTTATTTGCAAGAAACTCTGCAGTCACGCTGAATTTCTCATCCACCTACAATAAAAGTATAATTTCCATCAGGTATTCAGGTTCTAGTTCATTCATGGACTGCACTAATTAAAAAATTGTAGTTCTTACTAAAGTACCTGCGCAACTGCACCAATAAAGAGCATGCCATGCCCAAATTGCATAAAGCTGCTGCTGGTTATATTCAAATGAATCCTTTTCATTAGGGAACTGAATCCCAATAAGATCCCTTCGTGGTTCTTGCATTCGATTTTGATTAGCATATCACCTCCTGAGCTTGTTACTTGAACCTCAACAGATGATGAGGAGTGATGATCACAGCTACTGTTATTAGAGACGTTCTCCGCGGATGAAGATGAATTGTCGTTATTAGGACGAGGTTTCTTCATTGCAGAAACAAGCAATTCCTCCAGCTGATTCCTCTTTTTCTCTTCTTTCTCGAAAAACTTGACTCGTTTGTCGAGCTGTTTTATATGCTTTACAGCACCTCCAAGCACAGAAGCCTTGTCCAACTGCATGCCAAACAAAACAAATCTCAGTGCACCAACCCAAGCTAGGAAAAGCCATTCCATTGTAGTCATCTTGTTCTAGTGACTAATTAATTAGTTCTCTCAGCTTCAAGTTCATTCCCGGATTCACAATTACTAGCTAGCACATATTTTGTCGTTGTAGTTATGTGTTGTATGACCTTGTTATTAAATAGATGAATGACAAAATCTTTTGGCCTAACAATCTATACAAGAGAGGAATAGAGGAATAGGAACTCATTGTAACTAGTGAAACCAACTGAAAGTGAAACAAAAAGTGATAGACTCCAATGTGTTATAAATTGAATTATTTTAATACTCACAATATCATTGTTTCCTACAATATAATGTGTAAGTATGAACAAATATTGATAGGTTGCAATTTGATAGTTAATTTTATTATTAATTTTCCCTATTACTTAACCCAATGTGAATTAATTATTAGATTCTACTCACTTTTCGTAATTTGCATTTATTTCAGGGAGTAGAACAAAAATATCACAATAAAGGCCAATTTGACAGTTATCGAGAAAGAGTTCACATAGCAGGCAATCGAGGGCATTTCTGGAATAAGGAGATACAAGTCCTTTTTGGTAATTCGCAGATGGCAGCATTAAAAGGAGGAACGCAGGGCTGAAGTGGAGAGTCTTCTTCTTCCCCCTGGGGAAGCCGCCGCACAAGGCAGAGGAGAAGCACTATCTTGGAGAAAGCTTTTGCTGTTTGACTTTTCTTTTGTTAGTTTAGGAGTAGCTATAATGCTGCGCATGTCAGGAGCAATTGAGAATTGCTTTCTTTGACCTTTCTTTCTTTACCTTTTAGTACTTTGCTCCCCTCGGATGAGAGGACGAATTGAATTTCCCCAACTCTTGGAGACAATGGCCGTAACTACTGCCGCAATTTTGTTTGGGTTTTATTCATCAAATATGAACTAATTCTCTCACTCTAGTCAAGGAGCAACGGAGGCTTTGATTCGCCTAAAAATTGTGAGATCGTTTTAATTTTATCTTTTTCTCTTATTTATTGGTATTTGCATATTCTCTGGTTGCAGTGCTTATGGTTGTTTAATTAATTGATTGTCTTGGATCCGGATAATTAATTGATTTGATAATCTATTGTCATTTGAGGTATTAAATCCGTAATTGTTTAATTGCCTCAAAATAGTGACAACTGGCACGATTAGATTCGTGTCAGGGGAATACGCGGGCTAATCTAAAATAACCCTGGTAGTGTGTTATTTGGTTAGAATAGGGCTCCTCTAATACGTAAGGCAATTGGGGAATTAAATTCTATGGGCGTACCTAGGATTATTTCTCAATTAGAGCAGTGATTAACGGGCGTACCTTGATCACCGACACAGTAAGGAGGGGTTGACTGCCATCGCCTGTTTGGTAGTTATAACCTATTTATTAGTAAATAATTGGAATTGCCTTTGCTTATCGATGATCAATTGGGTGAACCGTTGCTGAAGTTATTTCTTGGCTAGATCCTTAATTATCACTCATTTGATTTCAGTAATTTGTTATTTAATTTTTAGTAGCTTTTTAGATTTTAGTTGAATTTCTTTGATTGTCACATCCTGCATAAAAACACCCCCTTGTCACTGTGAATTTGAAAAGAAACAATTACTCCCAATCCCTGTGGATTCGACCCTGCTTACCACTATCTACAGAAATTACTTTTAGTTTGAGCAGGTTTTATTATTGCACAGGCTTCGACAACCTGTCAAATATTATTCCAAAGAAATCTTTACCCTGTCACAATAAACAAACAATAGATCTCAGCTACTTCTAATCTCACTCACTTTCTTTAAGTCAGGAACTACAGCTGATAAAGCAGCGATATGCTTGGACAGCTTTTGTCGTCGTTTCCTTTCTGCTAAAATGTGATCTTGAGCCCGCACGGGTGTCCCAGAGAAACCCTTTTCAAAGGGGCTGCTGACACCATATTCTAGAGCTTCAGATGGTTCCTGATTAAAGGAATTGGGAGAAATATAAGAGTAGTATGCAGTTCCAAGATGCATCATCTTATCTGACTTGGTCTTGACAGTGTGTTTTGGGTAGTTGCAGGTCCCAGCCCCGAACGAAATAATTCTGGGGGACGGAGAAGAAGGGGGCTTTCGGGATGTGCAGATTAATCTCGAATCTTTGTCATTGTTGATGAGCTGGATGGGTTGGCTAAGACTAACGCCACTAGTTTGAGAAGCTTCATGAAGTTGCTTGTTCTTTATACTGGAGGATGGATGAATTGGGTAGCTCTCATGATCCGAGGAGGAGAATCGGTTGAAAAGGATGTCCTCGTTAACAGATTGGTCAATGGAGTTCATCATCGGCCACTGATAACAGAGGGCAGGAACATCCATTTCCTATAGAAATTGAAAAGTGGAGGTTGTCAAGGCAAGTATTCAGATATTGGAAGGCAGAACATACTTTCAGAAGTGGTCAGAAGTGAAAATCTAAGGTACTTACGTAGTAATCTTACCAGTATTTCAGATAACCATTTTTCTGTTGAAAGATCCATATGGTTAATTTCGCTTCTCGCCATTAATTGTGTGACATATAATTTAAGATCCTAGAGGAAAATAAAAGCAACCCATTAATCCTCATTAGATTACATGGGAGATCTACAAAATTTAGTCTTTACTCTTCAGATCTATCTACCTATCCTAGTGCCTGAGAATCTGGAAAAGGGGGCTTTGGAATGCCGAAAGCTAAGAAGAAAAAGTTAACTTTAACAAGATTTGGTAACCTATTACCACAGAACAGAAGTACTTAGATTAAAGCAGAATACAGATATGCTGTCATATCTTATAATGCTAGTGCTATCATGGGAGTTAGAATGAGATTCCCATATGGTACTACAAATATGTGAAGAATAGACGAGAAGACGAGATAGAAAACCAAAAACTGAGTGGAGAGGTTTACCTCAGACCAAATCAAAAAGGTATCCAACTGCTGTTTTCTGAAAAGGGTTGGTCGAGAATTGTCTGTGATTTTACGTATGTACGTACCAATACCCTCAACCGACCAGGAAAGGTCCAATAATGTAATGAGAACTGAAACTCACTCAAGATAGGCCAGGAAGTCGCTTTTGGATGACTGGGAAGAAAGAATAAACTAATTTCCAATATTTATTACACGTTTAGAATCCTATATCAAATGAAAGGGGCTCTATCTTTCTTTCTGGCTTGTTGCCCCATCTCCCTGACCTTCTAGGTTTGATCTACCTAACTCTTTTGACCTTTATCATTTCATTTTCTGTCAGGTCAAGTTTGTGCAACTTTGCCCCAGTTTTTTAGGGTAACCTTCCAATCTGCTTCCATACTCCAGGAATGTGATTAAAATATTAAAGGCTGGTGGGTTGGGAAGGAGGGAGGAATGTCTTCAAGAACTTATTCTCTCTCTCTTTTTCTTTTCTTTTCTTTTTGGGCTGAAGTTCAGGAAAATGTTTTCAAGAATTTATTCATTTTTTTTCTTTTTGGGCTAGATTTCAAGAATATGTTCCCACTTTCTGGGAGAAGGAATTTAGGGCACAAATGAAGTGCAATTAACGTACACAGGAACCCCAGATGTAATTTTAGCTTTTCTTTTACCATTGCGCAAACTTACAATTTCTTCATTAGCAATTGGAAGCTCTGAATTTTGCGCAAAAACCTTTTAAAAAAAATTTACCAACAGTGAGATGATGTGCTTTTTTAGTTTACAAGAATCATGTGTTTTGATGCTTAGCCAAAGAGATTGAGATGAGGGAAAAAAAAAACAATTTCTGAACCTAAAAACAACACTGATAGAGTTAATTTCAGGTGAAATGATTATGTAATAGAGTTAAAAGTAAAAGAAACTCAAATTCGCTGATCAGTAACGATTTTACACAGTTAGATTAACACTCAGAGAGTCACCAAAAAACGGTCCAAAAGACAATCTAAAGGAGACCCACAAAGTAACCCAATTCAGCCAATTGGTGACAGAACGGGGATCAGTAACGATTGAGATGAGGAAAAACAACAATTTCTGAACCTAACCTCACGTCAAATTTGACTTAGATGTACGAACCATATAGGATCAACGCTAGTGTGTAAACACCCAACGATCTATGAAGCATCGTTTTGGCACAAAAAAATTTCTCGTGGTAAATGGATGTATTTGGTAAATTAAACAAGACTCTACCCTACTTCAACTCTTAATATAAGAATTATCCAAATATATGCTCCACTACCAAATTTCAACACCTATTCCGCCCATACCCCAGATTTCCCCTAATTATTACCTTTGTAATTTTGCATGGCCTATGACAGGCAACATTATATTATGCTATTTAACTCAAAAAAAAAAAAAATATCAACATCATTATCAACCACTAAACTAAGTCTAATTAACTAGTACTCTATCATTGATTGAAGCAGTTACGCAAAAAACCAGCTCAGTAGTCAAATAAGTTTTTGTAAGCCAGTCAATCAAGGTTTCTATTTCAAAATATAGTTTGTAATGAGTTTTACGTGCAATGTGAATGAAGGCCATGTGAAGGAAGGAATTCGCTGCCAAAAACGATAGCATCTTCATTATTTATAGAGTAGGTAGAGCCACGAGGTCGAAGACGAAAAATGGATACACAAGAAACACATTTGACGTTAGAAAATACCAAGTTGCCAACAGCCTCTTGGTGTTTCCTTCCCCGTTTTGATCATCTTCTGAATCCTTGGTGTTTAGGGGGATAAAACTTTTAGATAGAATTGTCTTCTGTTTCCTGATAAAAGTAGACATTTTTTTTTTTTAGCAATGATGTTCTTTTCCTTCCAATTCTCCACTCGCAAATGAATAATCCAACTTTAGTTGCAAATTACCCATCGGTAGCATAATATTAGTTAGCGTAGTAGTATAACAAATTCAGAAAATCAGATATTATCAATGTAGCGGAAGCCAAATTAATGCTGATAGTTTTATTTAAGCAATTTTTCATGGAATCTATTCCGAAAAATAAGTTACGAAGTTGTCTTAATCATTAGTTGAATATCATTTATATTACATTATATTATATTATGTTTTGCTAAGTTTCATATTGTGAAATATTAGTTACGAAGTTGTCTTAATCATTAGTTGAATCGTAGGATAAATTAGACACATAGTTAGCTAGAATATCGCAATCCACAACTTGGGAAAGAAAATAATTCACGATTTGGAAAATTAAACACTCGTTTAAATTTTAAAGTACACGGCTGCGGGAATAAAAGTAGAATTAAAAAAAATGCACTCAACCATTAAGTGCGCAGTCTCCTTAGTCTTTGCTTAAATTTATTTGTAAACTTGGTATATTTTACTCTTAACCCTTCTTTCTCCCCGTGCTGAGTTGTTTATATATTTATTCTTTAGGTTAAGAAAATGCCAAGGGAAACGAGAATATATATATTATTAAAATAAGGATACAGGACAATGTTAGACAAAGGGCAGCCTGGCGTTCGATTTTGTCCTATATATGTATATGAGGCAGCTCTGGTACTGTTCCTAGTATTTGCCAGTTTCTCTTAATCACAAATCTTGGTACTGTTTGTTTTCTTGTCTCCCATTATTGATCAGTACATATTTGATCATCCAATCTACTTGTTTCAGAAGATAAAAAGGATGGGAAGGCGACCTTGCTGTGACAAAGTTGGCTTGACCAAAGGGCCATGGTCTGCTGATGAAGACATGAAACTCACCAGTTTCATTCTTACGAATGGCCAATGCTGCTGGAGGGATGTCCCTAAACTTGCAGGTCTCCCATTTCTCCAAATTCTTTTGGGATTCAATAGTTCTCTAGGGAGAGATTGAGAGAAAGTTTAGATGAAAATTTCTGTTCCAAAATATTATTTATCTAACATGATCAATGGAGTCCTCACTCAATAGTGCATTTGCAATTTGTTTGGTTATTTTAGTTCGACTGTTATAAGGGTAGATTTTGTTTCACTAGCATCGAGTAAAAACCTGGCTTGTTGAGCTAGATTTTGGGGTGGAAATTGTCGAATATCAATAGTTGCATCAGAGCTCAACTACAGTAACTCTGCCCACGAATAGTTATGGTAACTAGGTTTATATCAAATCTAACATAGGTCCAATGTATGAGGTGAACGTTGTTGTTGGGAATTCCAAATTGATCGAAAAAGGGCTGAGAGATGGGAATACTTTATTTCTTGGGGGTGGTGACTTTGGGAATGTCCAATAATACCCGACATGGTACTATTGCCAGATAAGAAGAGATTAATGAAAACTTTTTAGCCCTTTTCTTATCTTTCTTTGATGCCAAGGTCTTCTTTCTGTTGATTAAGTGCATTGCAAATTTTAACAGGGCTCTTGAGATGCGGAAAGAGCTGCAGATTGAGATGGACTAACTATCTCAGACCAGACCTGAAGAGGGGTTTATTGTCAAAACATGAAGAGAAGATGGTCATTGACCTCCATTCTCAACTTGGCAACAGGTTCATCTTCTATCCTCTCCACCAAAAAAAAAAAGAACTGAAAAAATAAAGAGAAAGTTATGTCACACCTCTTTGTACTCATTATCTGTATCCTCTGTAGATGGTCCAAGATTGCTTCTCATCTCCCTGGTAGAACTGATAATGAGATCAAGAATCACTGGAACACTCACATAAAGAAGAAGCTGATAAATATGGGGATTGATCCTGTCACTCACAAGCCACTGCCCCAACCAACATCTGCTACTGATCAATCCCAAGAAGAGCAGCCAAAGAATCACCCTGATTCTGATCAAGAAACCAAGAAAGAGCCTACATCGTCTGTTAGTATTAATGATATAATCTCTGAAATGGATGAGCAAAAAAGAGAGGCGGAGACTTCAATGCAGTCAACCTTAACAGATGCCATACAAGAAGAAGAAGACAAGAGCATTAGTATTCCTCAATGTCAAATCGAGTCTTCCTCTGTGGAATTCAACAATGTTTTCAGCATAGATGAAGTTCCCATGATTGAACCTGATGAAATATTTATACCATTCGCAAGAGCTTCATCAACCCTTTCTTCAACATCATCATCATCATCGTATTCTTCTTTTGACCGCAACTCAAGTAATTGCAATGTATTTGGTCATCATCAAGAATTCTTCCCAACAATTATTCACGCTCAATCATCTTTTGACCACTACCCCACCGACAAGATGAACGTGGATTTCTGGGATGATGACTTCATCAGCAATTTGGACATGTTGATGAATGATGATAGTGACAGGAACAATTTAGCTGCTGTCATCGGACTTGAACCTTCTCCAGCACAGTACCATGTAGAAATGGTGCTATTGGATGAAGATTATTCTTGGAAATTTGATCACTTCTGACCACATCGGTTGTCCTTGTCAATTCAGATGCATCTACCACTTGTTAATGTTAATTCTGTCGATAATTAATAGCTGTGAATATGTTACAATGAATAAAAAAGTGAAGAATCTATATTCATTATTTTAATTTCAATTTCGATAAATATTAACACTTGGGGGCTCCTTTTTATTTAAGTTATTTACATGGCAATCATGTTTGTGAACGTGTCTTGAGTAGTGACTTGCGAATTTTAGGTTATGGAATCATGATGGCCCAGACGGACCGGAATCCTCTATCCAATATTTTCCGTCCACTTTCTCGTCCAATATAAAACTACGTAGTTTTACTTACTATATCTATTGATGTAGCACAAAAAAAGAAAGACTGTTTGGCTGCCTTACACCAGAAAGAAAAAAATTGTTTTGTTGAAAAACTTCCTTCATCTTCTAGGTAGAAAATGGTGGCAACAGATTTTTGGAAATTGTAACGGTAGCAATAGGGTTTTGGAAATTGTAACAAAGTTGTGTAAACAAAGGAAACCCAAAAAAGAAGAAAAAAGAAAAACATATCCAAAAAACGCAATAAGCACATCCAAAAAATGGGTTAACTAAGTATTAAGATACTAATTCAGTGGAGACTTGCCTGACGAAATCTCTAATCTTAGTAATCTGCAGACTCTCTCCATCTTTACAAATAAGTTTTCCGGTATCATTCCTAGGGACTTAGGGAAGAGCAGTCCTTTTTTGAAAAATGTAAGATTTTCAAATAACAGCTTTACTGGTCAACTGCCACCAGAAATATGTAGTGGTTTTGCTTTGGAGGAATTCACGGTGAATGGAAATTATTTGACAGGGCCAGACGGAACATAATAAGTGAAACTACGTAGTTTCACATTGGACAGAAAATTGGATACAAAATATTGGACAAAGGATCCCGTCTGCAGTGGAACAACGTAGTTTTATATTGGACAGGAAAGTGGACATAAAATATTGGACAGAAGATCCCGTCAAGCATGCAGTAATCTTTTGGGAAAATATACTCAATCATTGTTATTTCTATTTATGTCTAACAAACCATTTTTTGAATTGCAAATTTTACAAGATTCATAATGTAATAAAATGCAAGAAAACCTTCAAATTTTCGTTCTAACATGCATGAACAAAATGGAAAGAAAACAAACTGCCTTTCCTTCATTTTTCTCGCATTTTTCTTTACAAGTAAACCTATGTAAGGTTTAACCATAAGTTCTTCTTAAAACTCCTCGGACGCGGTAAATCCAGCGAACATTTGGCAGAAGTTAATTAAAGCAAGACGACATGATAGTTCTCAACTCAGCTAAAGGGTTTTATTAATGTAGCAACAAAAAGAATTTGAGGGTCTAATATTTTAGTTTCCATAGACACTGAATCAATCAATGCAAAATCAGCGATTTATACCAGGGCCATTTACAAAATATCGGTGAATATGTTCATTAGTAGTTTAATTTCACAAATAATACATGTTAGTAGTAATTGCAAGATTTTTACAGAAGTCGTAGTTGCATCTGTTTTTTTTTTTTTTTTGAAAAAAAAAAGTTATAAATTTCATGATCACATAACTCTAAACTTTTTAATTTATTTCGACAAGTAGATTCAAAACCCAGTTTTGTTTCATCACCAGAATATATTATGGCACATGCGGAAGTTAATGTTCTTATTATTTCCTTTTGGCTTGCCATGCCGACCAAAATGAGCTGACTTCAGGAAAATATATATATATACACACATTAAAGAGGGAAATCATAAGAGCAATAAAAATTGTTTAGTACCTGCTTTTTAATGATTGGTTGTATACAAAAACAGTTTGGTTGATCATAAGACTTATGAACTGTCATATGAAATTATTTATTGAAAGAAATATGCCATAAACCTCAAGGGGAGCCAACCAGAATGTAAGCCGAACTCAAAATCAAGATTTGAGCATGGAACACCAAAAAAGGATATATGGAGATAATTAACTACAAAAAACACCAAAAAATGTTAGCATGCATAAAAAAATCATACCCAAAATGGTATAGGATAAGAAGAAGTCTGAACAGTAAACAGAAACAGCCCAAAGGGAACTGAAAAAAGCATATGGATCACTTAAATTTTACCCCTATCGATTTGTCATACGATATAAATCCGATATCGACAATCATAATTGTTAACTTATAATTTCTCAATGAATATACCAACTTGTGTCTTAATTATACCACACCCTACAGGTGCATACATTAATACGTTTAATTCATTGCTCCATTCTGGAGTTGTTGACATCGGATATTCGATGCTCCCTACCAAATTAATTTTTCATTTCTTAAGACCAAAATAATGAAGGATTCTTGTATTTTCTTACATGACAAGAAAAAAAGTATTATTGTAAACTAGTCTTCAATAGATGAAATCATGAGACTACTTGTTAACAGTAATGATAAAGGTGGAAGGGGTCAACGAGATTGTACACATCGGTTCTGTACTGTTATTATATTTATTACATTATTTGGTATACAATCATATCATATTGTTATAAATTAGAATATGTGAATAACATAATAAGGTTGAAATAATTCTCATCAATATGAAGCTAAGTTGTTGAATTCCTATCTAAACTGGGGCACACAAATTTGATCACATCTAAAAGAAAATCAAATAATGAAGGTCAAGGGGGTGATGCAGGAATTAAGATGAGACAACCGAAGAAATTAATTAAGAAAGAGAGGCCCTTTTGATTGGATGTACTTATATTGATTTCCGCACGGCTCACATGCCAGTATCAGGAATTGTAGTTTATTCATTCTTCGCACAGCCATCCGAAAGAAACTTGCTACTGCTCTCCATCTCTCTTGTCTGCTCTTCTGTTTTCTACGACTGAATACTAAAAAATAATTGTGGAAATCACGCCAATTAAAGCAGAGACAATTCTTGACAACCCTTCTCCAAGGAACAGCAATTGGACACTTTGTTGATTTTTCTCCGCGGTAATGGTAACCCTCTCCACCCAGTCTTGATGTCCTGTGTGGTCTCTGCTTCACATACTTCTATTACTGTATCTGAATCATGATATTCCCAAGTCCTAAGATAGTACCTGTACCATGTGATCTGACAGCATATGTGTTTTGCGCCTTTTTTTTCATGGTAAGCTGTCTGGTGTGTTAATCATGCCAACGTGCTTTTGTAATATAATGGTGGATTTCTGCCGGTTGAAATTCATTTGACTAGATTTAGCCTCATTTTTTATTCACTTAATTTTCTCTTATTTTAGCAAGTGAATCCATCGTTAGATCCTTTTTCTTTTTTCATTCCAAAACCCACTTATTTAGGGTTGAAATTTGAGGCACATAACATAGCTCTAGGACTAAAGGCATAGATTTTGTTTATCAACCGACGAATATTTCTGGGTTGTTTTCCTTTTCTCCAGGATCTTAACAAATCTCACCATATATATGGATTTTTCAACAGCAAAATGCTTGTCAGAATTGGCAAGAAAACGATGACAGAAGCTGTGCCTGCAGTTCACAGCTTCATCAGCTGTAGTTTCTGATCTTAAGATGGTAGGGAGGATAAAAATTCCCTTTTTTTTTTTGATCGGACCGGTGTACTCTAGATGTTAATTTTAACTGTAAATCCTGGTAGAATTTGTAGCTTAGAGAACCAATTAAAGTACTAGAATAAGATGACTATAGGATGGATTGGCTCCCCACCAGCCTCCACCCCCCAACTTTGGTTGGTGAACTGAGATTTGTTTTTGTTGCCTGTGCAGTTGGACGAGGTATCTGTAATTGGAAGTCCTGTAAAGTGCATAAAACAACTCGTAGAACGGGAGAAGTTACTTGAAGAAGAAGTGAAGAAGAGGAAGCCGACGGAGGAATCGGTTGTTTCTCCAACAAAGAAAGCTCGTCCTTGTGAGAATGTCTCTGATGGTGGCAGCTCTGATCAGCAGTCGCCATCAGCTGCTGAAGTCCAAGTAAACATCACAGGAGAAGAAGTGCTAATAAGAGTCCAGTGCAAGAATCACAAAAAGATACTGTTGGAGTTCATTTCCTTGATTGAAAAGATCGGTTTAAGCATCAAAAGCTGCAGCTTTGTACCACTCGAAGATGAGATGCACCTTATTAATGCAGTGGCACAGGTTTTTTGATGAGCACTACTTTTTCTTATAAAGCCTACCATTTATTAAGTTATTTACAAATGAATACATGATGATGGAGGGAATGTAAAACCTTACCTTCTAATTAATTAACCTGTAAGTTTAACATATTTAAATTCTAGAATATTAGCTTTACATGCGCTACAATGATGTTACACAAAGGATTTGTAATATTTGACTTGAAATCTTGTGGTATTTGCGTTGCTTTATCAACATTTGAGTAGTCCTTTTTCGTTTGGATTTTTTGGAGTAAATTGATTTTTTTTTTTCTTGTTCTTATTGGTTTGCAAGATACTTGCACTATTGCTTACCAAAAAGTAAAAAGTTTTGTTTAGTTTGAATTGCAAATGATTTGTGAAAATCTTCGATAGACTATAGAATTTTTTTTTCTCATTCCTGGAATATTGTACAAGTTTTAGATCTTATTTGACAAGCCCTTGACTAAGTAGTTCACCTTTTTATCCTATCGTCCTGTTTGATAACATTTTATGTATTTGTACCCTGATCCAAGTTTTTTGCATCGTGGAAGAGATTGTAACCTGATCCCAGTCTCACCCTTGTTAACAGTTCTTTAGTTCACCAAAAGAAAGGATTGCAAGAAGCTTGTGGTAGTACATTTGCATTCCCGATTGAATGGTATTTATTTGCCAAAAAAAAAAAAAAATACAAGGGGAGCTTGGTGGATGTAAGGAAAATTTGAAGACTTGCCACGTCCAGAAATGGACGAGGATCTAATCCTATTTATTTTTCGGTTGCAGATTGATGAAGGATTTTGCATGACAGTAGAGGTGCTTGCCAGTTATATTCCACAGGCTCTGCTAAAGATCGTATGATCGAAAATCACAAACAACAG